CCCCCCCCCTGCACCAGCCCCCACCTCCAGGCCCCAGCCCCTTCTCCTGCCCTGATGCCTCCCCTAGGAGCCCCCCAACACGGTTAATCCAGCCCCAAGCCAGGTCCACCGCCCCTACATGCCTGTTCCCTACAGCACGGGGACCCACTCACCACCCTCCCCACGCAGGGGGCTGTCAAGCTCTCCAGCATACCAACAGCCCCATCCCAAAGGGATGGCCCTCTTCCTGGTGGACAGGGGCCAGGGCAGGTCTGCATCTCACCTGGGGAACACACCTAGGCAGCCAGACTCCACCTCCCAGTCGGCCCAGGGGCATCCCTACCCGTCCCTGTCCTGGCAGCATCCCAGGTTAACCCCTGCCTGCCCCCAGGCTTCAGGGACGCCACCTGGCCTTGTACCCACCACCCTGGCCACCCCTCCCCAGCCTGCTCCCAAGCTGCCACAGCTGCCTCTGCGCTGAGCACCAGCTCAGCCCTATCGCCCAGCTCCAGGCAGGGGTCTCCAGCGGCCCCAGGACGTCTCCACCTGGACAAAAGTGACAGGTGACAGATGCACGGCTCTTCTCCCCCAGGCCTCTGCATCCCCTGGCACTCCTGGGGCCCAACCCTCCCTCCCTCCCTCTGCCTCTCGGCTATTGGGACTGAGGTACCAGATCCCTGGAAGTCAGTGCTGGCAGCAGGACGGATGGACAATGGACAGAGCTGACACTTGGCCAATGGGGACAGCAGGAAGGGCTAGGGCAGCTGATGGTGGGCATGTACTTGCACCACACCACCCAAGATGGGTCCCTGGTGCCAGGGCAGTGCCAGGGGACCCCAGCCCAGGGCCTGCCGCAGACACTGCCAAGTGCATCACCATGGCAGCCAGGGCCCTGTCTCCCCAGGGCAGGCTGACTTTGGTCCCTGAAGGAGCGGGTAGGCCGGTCAGCCAGGCAGGCAGGGCCGTGCCTCAGGAGGGCCGCGGGCTGGCTCAAGACCCAGCAAACGTGCCTCTGCAAACAAGCACTGGGATGGGAGGCATCTGCCCACCACCTGGATGACCAGAACAGTGGGGGTTCAGGGGCATGGGGGTGTGTCCTCCGTTTGCTGACCGCCTCCTACCAGCCACCAGAGCGTGCTGGGCACCCAGCTGCCTAACAGAACTCTCCAGGCCCAGAGCGGCCTTACCCTCACCTACTGCCCCCAGGATGAGGCCAAGTGCCTCATGGGCCCACCCCCAGAACCCCAACATAGCAACTCATTCCCACCTGCACTCCAGTGCTCCCTCGGCCTCAGGGCTCCCAGTCTATTCACACAGCCCTCACATGCCACCTGCTGGGCTCCGGCCCCTGCCCACTACTCCCTCAGCCCCACTGCATCGCCGCCCCTGCCCAGGGGGGTCTGCGGACCGCCCACCACAGCTCCCTGCATGCCAAGCATGCCTTGTCACCACGCTGAGGGGACAAAGGCCAGGCCTCACCTTCCGGCCCAGTGTGGCCGCTGACGGCTCCCTCTTCCCCAGGCCACCCTCGGGACCTGGCTGGGGCGTCCTCCCTCCCCAGTAGGCCAGCCTGAGTCCTTGGTGGGTGCCTTTCGACACCCCCCCCCCAGTTTCACGGGATGCGGTCCCCTGCGAGGGGACACCCCGGCACACAGCTCACCGGGTGCGCAGCGCCTGCCAGGCGGCGTCGATGTCGGCATACAGGTTCTTCTCGGAGGGCCTGCCCGAGCTGGCGCCGTAGCCGGAGTAGTCGTAGGAGAAGATGTTGCAGTTGATGCGCGAGCCCAGGCCGATGTAGAAGCTGCTCATCTGGCCCAGGTCCACGGCGTTGCCGTGCGAGAAGAGGACCGTGTACCTGGGGGCAGGCCGCAGGCGCTGCTCACACACCGCCCAGGACGGGACAGGAGTGCCGACGAGGGGGACAGGCCGCCTGTGCTGCCAGGTGGCTCGGCTCACGCAGGGGACCGCCGGCGGAGCCTCAGGCTTCCCCTCTGTGAAGGGGCCCCCAGGGCCACCAGTCACAAACTCAGCATGGGGTGGACCCAGCTGCCTCTCGGCAGGCGAGTTCCTTTCGGGGGGCTCTGACAGCGCGAGAATGGCAGGCACCCGGCCTGCTTTCCAGAGCTGACAGCGGCCCCTCCCACCCCTGTCCCACAGTGAATGAGGCCAGGCCCTGTTCGGAGCGGGGCTGGTCTTCCCACTCCTGCAGAAAATGACGACACTCATTTCGGCCCTTGCACAGGTGAGCTGAGAGCAGGCACCAGGCTGGTCCTGGACAACGGCCTCCTGGAGTCCTCTTCCCCACCCCACCCCCGCCAGCCTGGCCTAGAGAAGTCAGGCTGCACTTGGACTTGGAGCTGGAGGCTGAACCCCTCCTGGTCTGAGGCAGAAGCACCTGGAGGACCCCCTCCACTGCAGCCCTCAGGCTCAGGGAGACTCCGCCCACAGGCTTCAGAGGCCCCTTGACAGGGAGCCAGACAGGGCCTGAGGGACCCTGAAGCAGGCGGCTCCTTGTTGAGCACGTTGAGCATGTGACACTGCCACTCAAAACCACTTCCCTGAGCCTCAGGGTGCTCATCTGCAAGACAAGGTGCTGAGAGGGCCCCCCAGGCTGCATGAGGAAGGTCACCAGCAGGAACTAAGGGCCCGGGGCGGCTGGGCAGCTGCCACAGGCCACAGGCAGAGCGAGGCCGGCCCTTGCCGAGAAGCATGCCCAGGCACCTGCCCCGCCGGTGGGCCTTCACCCGTCCTGGCGCTCTGGGGCAGAGGACGAGCTCGGGGTGCTCCCCGCCGCCTCCGGGCGCGAGAGGCTCACCTGGCACCCGGCACGCAGCGCACGTACATGCAGGCGATGCGGTTGCCCCGGCTGCTCTTGGTCAGGAAGACCTCAACGGTGTCCAGCTCGCGCTGGCTGTACTGGAAGTCAGCACGCTCCATCAGGTGCAGCTTCCAGCGCCCGGGGGTGCCAGCGGAGGCCCGCAGGGTCCCCGAGGGGGCGGCCCCATTCCCGCCCGGCCCCGGCTCGGGCTCGGGCACCAGCGAGTAGGTGGGCTCCGGCGGCAGGAAGGCGAGCTTGGCGGCGATGCGGCCAGGACAGGGCGGGCAGCAGAAGAGGCAGCAGAGCTCGGTCACCGACAGGCCGTTCATGGCGGGCTCCGGGCACCAGGATGGGCCTCGCTTGGCAGGGAAGGGGTGGGGGTACTCCGAGACGCGGGCAGGGGGGAGGGTGACCCCCAGCCACCGCCCCAGATGAGAGCCCCGTTAGGAGGCCGCAGCCCGGCCCCATCGCGGTCCAAGCCGAGCCCGTGGGAGCCTCGCAGCTTCGTGTCTCCATGTCGCACACAGGCAAACCCTGCAGGGAACAGCGAGATGTGGTCCCTGGGTACTGCCAGAGACGGGCCCAGTGACCCCACTCTGGGCCTCTTGGCCTTCCCCACGGCCCGACCCGGCCCACTCTCCCCTGCTCAGACTGCTCCACTCCCCTCCCCGTGGACCTGCAAGGCCAGCCTGCCCTATGCAGGGACGGAGCAGCTGCCAGGTGACCTCTGCAGGACCCAAAGCTGACCCGGCCCCGCCTGCTACCACCTTTCCTCTTGCCACTTAAGTCCAGTCGTCAGCCCTGCAATGGCCTGTGGCTATGCTGGCCAAGCAGATTCCTGGCCCACCTCGGCTCTTCCCATCATAGCCCCTGCTCTAGGCCCAAGGAAACCCTGTCACTCTGTCGAGCTTCTGTCCACAGGGCTGGCCCAAACGCTTCCCCTAGTCCATCTCTCCTTTGAGGATCCATCTGCCACCCCTAGGTGACACAGAGCAGTCGAGGCAAGGACAGGCTGCTGACCAGAGGGACCCAAGGGCACACTCGTGGGGGCCGGGCCCGCAGCAGGACTGGGGTGTCTGGGGACGAGCTGGGCAGAGGAAACAGCAAACAAAGGCTCTGGGAACAAAAGCAGGATACATCTCAGGCTTGGAGGCCTACGAGCCGGACAATGGCTCTCCCCTGTGCTGGGGGCCAGGCTGCTGGGGTGCAGGGGAGTCACGGCAGCTGAGCCCCCTCCTCCAGCTCTGGGACCTTGGGCAAGTCGCTCGCCCTCCCAGGACCTCAGTTTCTTCGTCGATGGTGACACCGCGCACTCACGGAGGAGTAAATGAGATGAGGGCAGAACAGGGGTTCCCTCGGCCCTTTCTGCAGCATGCCCCAAAACGCTGTATGAGGCAGACCACAGCTACAGCGCTAAAGCCACCACGATTGTGCACAAAGCTGCCAGTATAGAGACTGGGGCAACCCGAGGCTGGAGAAGACCTGCCCACTCACTACGCCATCCCTATGGCCTGGGCTGAGGGGAGACACGCCCCACCCAGTCTCAGCAGTGGAGACCTCAGCACAGTGAGCTTGGGGGCCACAGCATCTGAAAACCACTGGGCTGAGACATTCAGACTCAGAGCTGGTCAGAGCAACCTGAGGCCCAGAAACACACTTGCTCCCTCTGCACCTGTGACCTGAGACCAAGGGCTGGAGAGAGCCACATCCCGCCGTCACCCAGATTCGGGGCACGCCAGGGGAGTGGGAGAGGTGCAAAAGCCACGGTGGAGGCATGGACGGCCCCGAGAGAACCCAACACCCAGCGGGACGCGCACCTGATGAGCGAGCATTTTTCAGAGGGGACAGTCAGTCTATCATGCCGGTTCTCGGACAAGGTGAGTCCCCCGACCCAGAGACACTTGCCATTTTTGGTTGAGGACTGGGGGAGGGTGCTCCTGGCAGTGACAGGGTGAGGGCTAGGGACGCCGCTCGACACCCCACCGTGCCCAAGAACACTCTCCAAGAACACTCTCTCTTGCCCAAGAAACCATTATCTGTCCCCAAACATCAAGCAACATGTTCTCAAAGAGGCCCAGCCCCAACAGGTGACACTGCTGGTACAAGGGGGGACTGGAGGGTCTGGCGCTTGGGTGGCCCAGTGAAGGCTGGTTTTGAGAGGAAGGCCAGGCTGAGAGCCAGGAGGCAGGTAGGGTGCGAAGGGGCACGCCCGGGTGGCCAAGCCCCACTGACGCCAGAAACCTGGATGTCTTCCTTGACTCCTCACCCCGCCCCCAGATCCACCCATCACCCCAGCCTGCTGGTTCTTCCTCTCTCCCTTTAACTTCCTCCTGGTCCCGCCTGTCACCTTTCACCTGGACTGCTTCAACGGCCTCCTCCCTCGCTGGTCCCCCTTTGGCCTCCATCACTCCCAGAGCAGCTGAAAGACCTTTTCGCGGCATGGATCTGATCGCGCCGCCTCCGTTTGGGCTGCCCCAGGGGCCTCCCACTATTTCCAGGATAGAGATCAAATCCGTCGCCACGGCCTGCCAGGTCAGCAGCCGGCTCAGGCGCCCTCTCCAGCCTCGCGCATCTGGCACCCCACACTCCCTCTCCCCAGACAGGCCCGCTGCCCACGCCCAGCTCGGAGTCAGAGCCCATGCGGTTCCCCTCCCGGGGACCCCTTCCCCAACCTTACGAGAGGGTCCTTGCCCTTGTCCTGTCTACCCTCCACATCTCACCTCCAGCGCCTTCAGGGAGGCCTTCCAAACCAGGTCGGGGCCCCCCGACCCCACGCCCACCAGTCTCTCACGGCTCCGGGTTCTAACCAAAGACAAACCCCAGGAGGGCAGGGCCACTATTTCTTTTTGCTCGACAAACACAGCTAAACAAATGGGCAAATGACAAGGGACAGAAAGGAAAGAAGGAAGCTATTGGGTCTGCCGGGTTTAACAGGGAAGGGGGACAGTCCCTATTCCAGCCACCAGCTCCTGGGACCTCCTGCATATCATTTCTGGGTGTCACTGAGTATGCTCCAGGAGCCAGGCCTCAGACTGCTCAGTGCACACCTAAGTGTGTCATTCAGTGAGCACACGCCCCTGGCACCCAGAGGCCCAGCAACTCCACCCACAAGCACATACTGGGCACCCTGCTGCCAGGCCCCACGTGGACTGGCAGTGTGTGAGGACCCAGGAGGAACAAGGCAATTGCAATTCTCTAGGACGACCTAAATGCGGACGACTGTGACAGTGTCTCACCCAGCCGGTCAGGGTGGGAAAGGTGCCTGGAAGAAGGTGCAGTCTGAAGGGGGCAAAGTGACCGGGTGACAGGGAACAGAGCAGACGGAAGAACATGGACAGAACCCCAGAGGTGACAGCGCTTTCCGGGAACTGTGCGTCTTGGTTAGAGCGGACACTGGGAGGAAGAGGCGAGCACAGGGGCCCCGGAGGGAAACGAGGCCGGGGTCGGGCCCTGCCCATGAGCCCTGCTGCAGACTGGACTCCGTCCCGGGCGAAACAGGGAGCCCTGGAGGAGTCCTGGGCGGCGGATAACACCAGGGCTTAGGGGATGCGGCTGCTCCGCGGACTGGAGCGGAGGCTGGGAAGCTGAGAAGGGGCAGTGGCGTCTGGGAGACGTTTAGGAAGAAGGGCTCGGCTTCCTAAACGGGCTGCTGCGGGGGGCCCCGGTGCTGGGCTGGGGAGCCGTGTCGGGGCAGGGTTAGAGTCCGCAGCTCGGACGCCGCACTCCCGGAAGGAGGCGGCCGCGTCCAGGAGAGTGGGCGCCCACCCCACGTCGGAGGGCTGAATGTTGGGCGGACAGGGCTTTGCCAGAGTCGGGGACGCTGGCCCGCAGTCCCCACCTCTGGTCGGGGGCCCTCCGGCTGGGACCACGGGCGCGGAGTCTTGGAGGCGTCCAACCGGGCTGCCCCGGCCTCG